TACCACCCAGCTGCCCCTATTATAATAGGTGCTTAGTAACACCTACATACAACAATAAATCATATATCTGGGGTCATAGGATTGTAGATGTAGAGCTGGAAGAGACCTTAGAGTCTATGAAATCCAACCCTTTTATTTTACAGCTGAAGAAACAGCTCAGAGAAGTCTCCCAGGATCACGTCGTAGTGTCTGAGGCAGGATATGAAATCAAGTCTTCCTGATTCCAAGCCCATACGCCATCCATTGCTCAAAAGTAAAAATAAAGAAATACATGGATGAAACCCCAAAGGGCTGCAACATTTATACTGCTCACATCAGCTTCCATACTCATAATGAACATAGTAATACAACAGAAATCATTACTTAAACAGTAAACCATGCAAAAATCATCTCAAAGAAAGACTGTTCTAACTTAAAATGGAAACATGCCAGAAAACTGACTGTACAATCACAATCTGAAAAATAATAAACATCAAAGTGAGGTCTCCTGACTAGTCCAAATAATGGGTCCCATGAAGTGGTTGCATATATTCAAATTTGTACCATAATTAAACATGTAAAATATGCTAATTAATTCTGGCCCAATGGAAATATGTAGTTTGAATTCAAATAATGCAAACATTTTACAAGGTCAATTGTTTGCACTAATTGGGAGCTAACTGTTCTAATTTTTCTCCCTTGAACTTAGTCAATACTCTTGCATTCAAGAAGAAGAATCCCAGAGGACCCTCTTCAGTCTAGTTCCCCTTAACCCATATGGACTCATGGGTTGTATTTTCTAGGGTAACAACTACCGCACATTCAAGATATTCCATGGGTCTGTATTCCCATGAGCCCCAATTCCGATAATAGCATTCAAGTTGACACAACTGAGTAATGAGTGCAAACACCTTTTTATGCTTTCTGTGGGTCATGGGCTGTTCCACATTTTGTATCTTTGTAATAGGTCACTCAGGGAATGAGCCTCTCAAAGTTTCATGTGATTTACATATTGTGAATGCAATATGTACACCTCATTTTCTCTGTTACCTGTCCCTTATATAATTTATTTATCAATTGAGTTGGGAAAGACTTAGTTGATCAGGAGCTCCCAGTCAGCACCTTTCCTGCCCACCCCCCCACTTTAAAAACTGTTCACGTTTCTTTATATAATCAGGAGAGCCCCAGATCTATTTGATGAGTCCCACAATCAACTTGATGAAATTATAGAGTTTGGAACTTTTTGAGAAAAGGAGAACTTCCCACAGAAGAAGGCATAAACCCTAACCTGAGGCCTCGAGGTGACACGTGGCCCTCTAGATCCTCAAGCACGGCCCTTTGACCGAATCTCTTTAAAGGGCGACATTTGAGGACCCAGAGGGCCACATGTGGCCTCCAGGCCCCAGGTTCCTCACCCTTGCAACCCCTTGCTAAAACATCCCTCCAAGATGATTGGCAGCTGTAAGTTAAGGGGAACAGACTCAGATCTGAAGAGCTGACCCCCCGGTCTATAGAACTGTGAAATGATTTTTACCTTTTTTCTTTTTGTGCTTTCTCTTTATTAGATTTCCAGACCTGAGTACTGCGAGGTGAGAGATAGGGACAGGAGATATCTCTTCCTCCATCCAGAAGCAGAAAATGACATCTTGGTAGGGGACAAGTGGCAGGTAGCCTAGGCTTGCCTAGGCAAGTCTGAGATGAGTTTCTGGACCTCTAGTTTAAAGTTATTATGTGTCTTTCTATTTCCTCTTCTGAGCAAAGGCCAGACACCAGTGATCTTGAGAATGGGTGTTTCCAGCCCTGGGGCTGCCACATGGGTGATCCAGAGTTTGCAAGTTCTTGAATTTGAGAGTTCTAAAGATTGATAGGTCTTGAATTCAAGGATCAGATGGTCATTTAGAGACTTTCCTTGGCAGTAAGCTTTTTGGAAGAAGAAGAACCTTTCCAAAAAGACTCCCTGCAGATGGAGGACAAAAGGCATCGCATGGTAAATCAGGAGATCTACCCCTTGTTAGCCCTTCATGATACCACTGGGAGCTGTTCAGTTGGTGCAGGTCCAGGTCAGTGGGGAGCATTTGTCCAGAAGACCCACAAAGTGCTTCTACCTTCTGGGAAAGGCTAATGAGTCTAATAGGATGTTTGAGTATTTTATTTTTGTTGCAGGTGTTAACTCAGTCTAGGAGTTCTTTGAATCTCATTATTATTATTTACACCTAAGCTTTAGTCAGCATAGTCTAAGAAATAAACTAACTACCTTGTTGTCAGGTTGCCAGGACCAAACCTGGTTTGTGTGAGCCCAGAGTGTTTGGGTGTGAGGAGGGGCTCTTGGGCAATGGGTGATACTAGAAATGAGAGCAATTTGAATTAGAACAGCTCTGAGACACCACAGTACATCAATTAAATAAGCAGAGGCAGTACAGAAGGGAAAGGATGAGCAAATAAAATGCGAGCAGAGCTGTCCATCCTGACTGGAAGACAGCGTAAGGAGGGGAGAAATTTAAAATGACTCTAGAAAGGTAATTAAGGAGTAGACTTGGGACCTAGGTCTTCTGACTCCAAATTTCAGGCTCTTTTTATAGTTCCATTGCAACCAAAATCTAGATCTGGATGGGGAATGGTCTATGGGGGTCTAGAGGTGGGCACAATTATAGAACCTATAAAGCTGGTCTTCCTCTGTTAGCCTGATTGGACAAGTGAGTAGGAGGATGGATGAGAGGACTGGAAGAGGTTTTTGGAGGGAACTTATGGGTGATCCACTCTTTCTCTTTTCTTTTCTTTTTTTTCTTTTTTTTTTTTTTTGGTTAGGCAATGGGGTTAAGTGACTTGCCCAGGGTCACACACCTAGTAAGTATTATGTGTCTGAGGCTGGATTTGAACTCAGGTTCTCCTGAATCCAGGGCCAGTGCTCTATCCACTGCACCACCTAGCTGCCCTGATCCACTCTTTCTCTAGCAAGGAAAACCTGACGTGGGGGAGCTGGGGTGTCAGCCAGAAAACGTTTTCCTCTTACTGCTTCCTGATATAGTCTCATGATTCATCCTACCCCCACGGCAGGGTTTGGGGTAGTGGGTGGTGGGCACACAAAGAGATCAGAATCAGCAAAGCTGGGGTTGGTAGTTGGAACTGATTGGATGAGAAAGGGAAATAGATTGATTAGACACAAACGGGTCATTAAAAAACCTGGGCTATTTCCCCAAAGATGATAATACAGCATACCTTCTTCCTTCCTCTCTTCAATTCTGGGCCTAACTCTGTTCTAGTCAAAGTGTCTGTCTAAGACATGTGCTCTGATGGATGAGCTCCATAGGTTGTCCATCCAACTACTTCTTATAGCCTGGACAGAAGGTATGTTTCCTCCACTTATGTGGGTAGTTAGGCCAAACTCTGCAGGATGACTGACCTCATTTAGAAGGCTCTTCATTGTTCCAGGGCTTGATATAATCAGTCACCTGCCAATTGGACTGTTGGAAGGACCTCACTATCCACAGTGATCCTTCTTCAACTTGTAACCGGTACTGGATTTCCTCATGATTAGTGGTGAGCATGTTTGATGAGCAGTAGATGATAATATTGTTATTAATATTAAGGGGGTTTTATGAAGTAAATGTGTAATTTTACACCTTTCAAGTATATTTGTACATATGGGTGTATAGTTATAAATACACATATACACATACATATGTATACAAAATATATGTGCATATACACACACATATATGTATGTGTATATATATATATACACACATGTATATATGTACACAGGTTATCCCAAAAGTCTTGGTGAAATTTTAAATTTATGTATCTATATCTATACATACACACATACATATATACACACATACCTACACACAGAGTATGTATGTATGCATAAATACATATATACATGCCTATAGAGAGAGAAAGAGAGAAAGAAAGAAGGAAAGAAAGAAGGAAGGAAAGAAGGGAGGAAGAAGGAAAGAAAGAAAAAAGGAAGGAAGGAAAGAAGAAGGAAAGAAAGAAAGAAACATAAACAGGGACTGGATATATGACATCTATGACTTCATTAGCATGGGAAACCCTCTACCAATTTCTCTGCAATTTGTAGTCTTAGAATGTTGTCTGGAACACTGTGACTTCCCCAGGGTGATCCAGTCAGCATATGTCAGAGGCATGACATGAATCCAGGTCTTTCTGGTTTCCTACTCTACTTCTACATCATGTATGTAACACATGTATATGCAGGTATGCATACACATGTTTGTGTATATAAGCACACGTGCATATGTGTATGTACACACATAAATATGTCTCTGTGGATACAACATGTTTTACACTGCTACTAGGCTTTAAGCTTCATTAAAGCAGGGACCAACACTTCATTTGGACTCAGTATCATCCCCTACTCTTAGCCTAGTGTCCTGGAATGGAGTAGGTGATCAGTTGATATTTGTCAAACTTGAATTCTTCTCCTGTTTCCTCTAGGGCCCCTAGCACAAAACTGGGCACACAAAGGAGCTCAGCTGGGACTTGGTGAATGAAACAGAACTGAAATAGGAGAAAGCATGATTTATAGAAAGAACCCTGGACTTGCCGTTAAGAAGACCTGTGTTCTAGTCTCGGTTCTGAATATTTGCTGTGTGACCTTGAACAGGGCATGTCATTTATGAGCCTCAGTTTCCCATTCTGTAAAAGGAGGGGTTGGACCAGATGGTCTTTAAGGTGCCTTCCAGCTCTAACCTTCTGTGATTCTGTGAATATCGTACTGATTTTCAAGGAATTGGAGTTAAAGTAAAATACACTTAATGATAAACTTTTTTTTTAATGGTAAACTTCTGTTAAGTCTAAAAAGAACATTCAGGATCTTGGGGTCTTTAGAATGAACAGTGCCTCTTACTAATGGAAGGCAGGAAATGTTTCCCTGGACGTGAGTGTTCTGGCTGAGTGGATTCTGGCTAAGCAGACATTCAACTTTTCAGTGCTTTTCCTAATTCCTGCTCCAGAGGCTGAGTAGAAAAACTTTTCCTGAAATGGCTTTTCTCCAGTTCTTTCCAGGAATGAATGCCTGAGGGTGGAAAATTAGGAAGGGAGGAAAAAAATCCCAGAATGGAACTAATCCCCATCATGTTATGCCAGGCATTCTCTCATCTGCGAAGGAAAGGTGAGTAAAGGTCACCCACCTGATCCTACAGGGTAATGAGGAGAGAGGAGAGAAAGGAAAGAGTTGGGAATAATCCAGAGAGGTTATTTGGTTCATAGCACACCCCCACAGACTGTTAGAGCTAGAAGGGGGCTTAGATAGTTTTTCTAACCCCTTAGTTTTCTAGGTTCTTACCCCTTATCTCAGAGAGAGAAAATGACTTGTCCAAGGCCACACAAAGAATAAATGGAGGGGACCCAGACCAGTCATCTCTTCATTTCCCCTCCCAGCTCCACTCCTCTGGACTTTTCCATCATGGTCTGCTGTGCCAGGTACCATCTCTTCCCCTCCTCCCTTCAGCTTTCTTTTCTGTGTTGTCTTCCCCCATTAGATTGTAAACTCCTTGAAGGCAGGGACTATCTCAATTCTTCATATTTCTATCTCCAGCACTTAACATGTTGCCTGGCACATAGTAGGTGCATAATAAAAGTTTGTTGACTGACTGACCAAAATGACGAGACATCACTTGAGCTCAAGGTCTCAGTTGATACTAGGAGAGAGAATTCTTGGTAATAGCAATTATAACACCCAGCTGTGTGACTGTAGGTACGTCACTTCACTTCTCTGAATTTTAGTCTCTCCATCTGTAAACCAAGGCTAAAAATACTTTCAACTACAATGCTGTTGTGAAGTCGGTGCCAAACCGACTGTGTGTACAAAGAAGATAGAGGCAGCATAAACGAGATTATCAACTAGCCTTAAAGGGGATCTGAAAAAGCTTCTTGCAGAAGGTAGGACTTTATCCCAGATTCAAGGAAGCTAGAAAGAGATGAGGAGGGAGAAGGATCCAGGCATGGAAACCAAATATTGGGAATGTCCAGACGAGGGATAAGGAGTATCTTGTCGGAGAAACAGCCAGGAAGTCAGTGTCACTGGATCACGTATGTGTAATTTTTGGGGAGGGTGCAAGGTGTAAGACTAGTTTTCAAGAAATTTAGCACTTAGGGGAGGAGAGAACTTGGGTATTGGCTGACTGAGCTATGATGATCCAGACAAGGCTTTTTATTTTTAAGGACTGAACAGAACTGAGTATATCTGTAGACATTGGAAGGAGCCAGCAACTGAGGGAGAGACTGAAAATTTGTGATGGGGGTGTCTGCTACTGCAAGACCTCAGAGGAGGTGTGTGGTGGGGGGCTGCTGGGTAGAATGAGATCGAGGGTGCAGACAGAGGGATTAGCTTAAGTGAATGTCTTTTTTCTGCTATTAGTGGAATGGAAAATAGGTTGGTGATGATGTTATAAGTTATTAGGAATGGAGGAGGCGTGCTGAGGGACTGTTTGTTTTTTGTTCCCTTGTTATTGTTAGTGTGTTAGTATCTCATGGGATCCCAGGATTCAGAGGTAGAAGGAACCAGAGAGATCTTGTTTCTAGCCCAGCCCTCTCATTTTACAGACATTCGAAGTGTGACTATGTATGTGTGTATTTAGGTGTGAGTCTGTCAGGATGTGTCTGGTAACCCCTCAGGCACTGGAAGGCTATTTTTAAATGTGACAACACAGACACCTTCCCTAAATGTGGCCCTCCTCCTCTCCCCAAACACACACACCTGCTCAGGTGTGGAGCCTACGGGGTGATTCCATATCAGAGGTGCAGAAGCAGAGCACACCCCCCACCACTAGGAGAAACATCCTTAGGCCCTCCAAGCAGGTGCAGGGCTAGGGGTAGGCCACCCCACCCTCTTCAGGTTCCTTTCAATCCTGAGATCACTCTGTGGGTGGGGCAGCCCAGGAAAATGGGGGGGGGGGCTGGTAGTCAAGGAGATTAGAGAGAAAGAGATCAAGACAAAGTCCCCAAACTTCTCTGTCAAATGAAGTAATACTTGTAAAAGTGCTTAACACAGTGCCATGCAGATGCTTACTAAATGTTTATTCCTTTACCCTTCCCTTCCTTCTCGTCCTTTTTCTAGATTATACCTGAGTCTGGGGGACATGACTTCAACCATATCACTCTCCTTCTCTGAAGTCTAAAGTCCTCAACCTGGAACCCAAGGCTTTCTACAATTTGATGTCTATGTAAGTGAGGTAATGTACGTAAAGCAATTTGCAAAACTTAAAGTGCTGAGTAAAGGTTTACTATGATTAATAATAATAATAATAATAACAGTAACTTTGCATAGCACTTTAAGGTTTACAAAGCTCTTTACAAATATTACACACACTCACACACATACACACACTCGCACACACACGCACACACTCTCACACACACACACACACACACACACACACACACTCAGAGTATCCAAGCATTTTAAACTGGGTGGTCCTCAGAAATCCTCTAGTTCTATTCCCTTCTTTCATGGAAGGGGAGACTTAGGTCCCAGAAAAGGTAGGTGACCTATTCAAAGTCACGTAGGCAAGTAGCGCAGAGCCTGGATTTGGACACAAGCTATAGGACTTCAAAGTCAGAGTTCTTTCCCCTATATGCTAGTTACCTCTACCAAAAACATTATTTTTCTCTGTCCTCATGTCTCTGATTAACTCTGAGAAGCATAAAGTCTTGGGAATCCTGCCAATTCCTTTCCAAGACAGAGCGGGCCTTGATCCTCACCATCTGTTCCACACACAGCTCTAGGCTTTGGCAAAGGCAGATTGGGTGGGCTCCTCCTCACCTTGTTCCACTAGTGGTGGTGGTGGTGGTGGTGGTGAGAATACCTTACTGAAACAGGGGGATGGTACAGATGAGGAGGGACAGAGAAGGCTCTACCCAGTCTGGGGAATTTCCCGGTGCTATTAATACCCCTGGCATAGGGCTGAGAAAGTCCCACCTGGCCTCTCCTGGTACAGAATAAGCTCTGTAATTTCCACCTGAGGGGGGCTTTCTTTGCCCCTCCCCCTATTATGTAGGTTAGACTGGGAGTATTTTAAATGCCAGGAGATCACCTAGCTTCCTTCCTTAAGATCTTCTTGCTGGCTTCCAGGCCTCACTCAGGTAGAGATAACAACTGAAGAAACAGGATGTTTCTCTCTCTCTCTCTCTTCCTCTCTCTCTCTCTCTCTCTCCTCTCTCT